ATGTGAGATGCTTAGGTAATGGCGTTGAAACAAAGGGGTATACGTGCCGAAAATCTTTCTAGTGCTCAGTCTGATTCTAATGTGTATGCAAATGCTGAACGTGGTCGGTACAATATTTTGTACATGACTCCTGAGAAGGCATGCCTGCTAGCTGCCAGGTGCCTTTTCCAGTTATCTATGCTTCATGAATTTAGTGAAAACCTAATTTTATTCTATTTATGCTTTCTAGTTTTATCTGCTATATTGTAATCACCTGTCCTTGTTCTAGTGGGAATGCTTTCGTGGTTGGAAAGTTATGTGAATTTTGAGCTTCCCGTCGCATGACTCTTATTCATCACTTGAAAACTGAATGCACTAAATACTACGGAAACCAAATAATTGACCCATTAACTAATCCAGCTCTTAAGTGCATATTTTTTTTTTTCTTCTTAAGCGCGTGATTTGAATGCCGTTTTCACGCGAATAATTATTATTGTTTCTTTCTTCTCAAATTTCCATTCCTGAGCTAAGATAATGGTGCTGCAGTTTCTGGTCAAGATTACTGGATTCAGGAATTTGCCTATTAGCTGTTGACGAAGCACATTGCATATCAGAGTGGGGTCACAACTTCAGGTGAATTTGTTTTATATGCAATGCATGAGTTTACTTGTAGTTTAATTTTCTCTGTTAAGAAGATATTTGATACTTATATTTGGGCAAGATAACTTGTTAGTCTCTGAAGCTTCAGGGCACAATAGATGCCTATCCTTTTCCATAAGGTTGAAAACTTGAAATATGTGGTAGATTTAAGAAGTGGGGCAGGCCCGGTCTAACTGATTCTTCAACTACTTTTGATCAAGCACAAGATGGACTTAAAACGACCGAATGGTTTTCTTAACTGATCTATAGTGCTTCAAATTCTCCAAGATCTTAAAATTTCCATTTGTGGGAAGATTTCATTATTCTCTAGAAGTTTCCGAACTGTATGATCTTTCCAAAATCACCATTTGTTTTATTGAACTGGTTTTAATAACCATGAGGATGAATATTTTATCCAAAGATTACATCGGGCAAAAACTGCGTCCACTTTTCTGCAGTTTCAAGAACTCTATTTGTGGATTTATTTCAAGAGATGCAGAAATGTGCTCCGCTTGTCAACTGAAATCAGAGTTTGCAAGTCATTAGGGAATCTTTCAAAGATATTTTAGAAATATTTCTCATACTCACAGTGGAAATGAACCCATTAGTGTGTACTTTACATTCAGAACTTGAATTTTACCATGGTTTGGTTTTTAGCAGTCATAAAGACTTAGGGAGCATTTCCTGACCCTGCTGCAGCTAGATTAATCAAGTGAATCTTCTATTCTTTGACATGCTTTTGATTGTTTATGTCTTGATGCATTTGTGATTGAAGTTGTGATAAGAATCACATGTTCAATATATTTTTGGTACAATTTCCTAACGGGTTTGTGTTTTCTCATAATTCTGTTTTTCTGGAGAATGTATTTTTCTTTTCTATAAGATGCTTACTGGTTGAGGTAAATCTGTGTTACAGGGTTGAATATAAGCAATTAGATAAACTGCGCGATGTTCTCTTAGATGTGCCATTTGTTGGACTGACAGCAACTGCGACAGAAAAGTACGTATTCCTGCAGTTTCAACTTTAGCCCGTATTCCTGCTGTCATAGTAACTAGCCTGTTATCAGAACTTACATTCACAGTCTGCTTGGAATTCTGTATTAACTTAATATGATATGGTTTCATTTTGTGAAGGTTCCATGTACTTTATCCTTTTCCACAACTTTTCATAATCATCATATAGCCATGTCTCATATACCATATTTACTATCCTATTATTTTGTATGATGAATATAGATAAGGGTTTCCTCAACTTTGTGTATTTCTAATATGATTTTGTGAATCTTAGTTCTGCATTAGTTTTCACCTTAAATGAGACTGAAGAAAGCATAAAAAAAGATTATTCTATAGGGCACAAAATCTTGTTTCCCTTTTTTTTTGGAAATAAGTTACATGTTCTAACTGTGAATGACACAATTTGTTAATATTCAACAGTCTATCAATGGTTACATTTTTGTTTGTTGTATTTTTGTATACTCGGCATCATTTTTCTCAAATGTTTGGATAAAAAGATTAATGATTTCCAGGGTTCGTGATGACATTATAAAATCGTTGAAGATGAGTTCTCCGCATGTAACCATTGGTTCATTCGATCGCCATAACCTCTTCTACAGTGTCAAAAGTTTTGATCGGGGTAATGCTTTTATGAACGAGCTCGTGAAAGAAATATCTACATGCGTCGACAAAGGAGGTTCAACCATAATATATTGTATAACTGTCAAAGATGTTGAAGAGGTCATCCCACTTTCCTCAAGTTTCATATTTAATCCTTATGTTTTGCAAACATGAGTTCGTGAAAATTAATGTCAGACATCAAACATAACATTTTAACCATACTAGTATCATGGCCCGTGCAAATGCACAGAACTATTAAAAATAAATGAAATAAGGAAACATAAATAGAATAAATAATTTTCATATGCAATTAAAATAGACTACTATATACAATGTTCATATCTGTATATTTTATTTCTCATTATACATCAGTGTCTCGTGTCTTTTTATTTGTAACTCGAGAAGCAACAATGTAAAGTTCAGAATTAAAAGCCTAAAAGTAGATTCCTATATATATATTCTTTAGTTTTTTTTATTAATAGAACAAATTGACATAGTATTAACGAATTTTTTTATATATTTTTTTTTAGTTTTTTTTTATATAGTTTTCCATGAATTTAATGAATTTCTTTCTAAAACCGTTATTTATTTATTTATTTTTTTTATGAAATCTAACGATGTGGACCAAAATATATTGATAAACGAAAACTTGAGTAACTAAATTGATTTAATTGGAACATCATGTACTAAATGCGCAAATATATATAGTTGGGGTATAGGAAAATACTCAAATTATTTTATTATCTTAACACATTTTATTACAGTTTGTTTGAATTTATCATGTAATTTAGATCGTATTTTGACACTTGAATATATTATTTCTTACTTGTCTGGTTTTATAATTTATAATGTAATCTTATTAATTAACTATTATTTTCTATACATATACTTACAATTTCTTTATTTGTGAAACATTCTTTTATTTAAATAAGTACCATATTATTATCTAGTATCTTCATATTTTTAGGAAGACTTTAAATATAAATTATTATTAACATACATCATAAATAATTCACTGTGATTCAACATATCATGTACATGTAAAAAGAAATTTATTTTTATATTAATGAGAAATCAAAACAAACAAAACATTTTAAAATGCCTATCTATAAATGGTAATAACAAATTTAGGTCCACTTTTACTATTAACCTATTATTAAAAATGAAAAAAAAATATTAACGGAGGTTGAAGCACGTTTAATAAAATAATAAAAAATTGGAACTAACTTCCCATAAATAGTAATATAATGAGGGACCCACTAAAATACTTACTATTTTTAGTAAGTGGGTTGCCTAATTATATAGTAATAGATAGATATCTGAGCGAGGTCTTGGTGAGGCCTGTCGTGTTTCATGTTGGAGTTATTGGCAACTCAATATGCTTTTTCTTCTCTAGGTTTTTAGGTCCCTCAAGGAAGCAAGAATTGAGGCCGGAATGTACCATGGACAAATGTCAAATAAAGCCCGCGAGGACTCCCACAGGTTTAAAATTTTATAAATCTCTAAGAAATATTGTTATTCTTAGCTTTCTTATCTCAGATCAGTGTAACATTTTTTTTCGAAAGTGATTAACAAACTTCCTCCTCATTTTGTCTCTCGCCATGTAGATCACACTTTCCATGCTCATCACTTTGGAAATATTCCTGTTTGATCTATATGTACCATTCGTCAAATGAACAATCCTATTGGTTCAATATTATGACCAATTACGACTTTTTGCAGATCATTTATCAGAGACGACTTCTATGTCATGGTTGCAACTATAGCTTTTGGCATGGGCATTGACAAGTCTAATATAAGACATGTGATACACTATGGATGCCCAAAGAGCTTGCAATCATATTATCAGGAAAGTGGACGTTGTGGCAGAGACGGGATTCCTTCATTCTGCCAGCTATATTACACGAGAAGTGACTTTGCAAAGGCTGACTTCTACTGTGCAGAAGCACAAACAGTATTTTTCGTTGTCTTAAGATTCTCAATAGTATCACATATATGGCCTTTTCACAGTTTTTGATGTGATCTCTTTATGTTCCGCTGGTATTATATACCTTTCTGATGATTTTATTACACCAGCCGGAGCAAAGAAAAGCAATAATGGAGTCATTTATGGCTGCACAAAGGTATTGTATGCTGACAACTTGCAGAAGAAAGTTTCTGCTGGAATACTTTGGAGAGAACTACTCATCTGATAGCTGCGGTAAGGGCATTATTTCCTTTTCTTTCATGTATAATTTGTAAGACCTGTACTATGTAAAACCCTCTTGTTCAGTCAAACTTGGAAGTCTGCTGTGTAATTAGTATCTTTGCATGCATTATCCTAAATTTTATGCCTGAGGACCAACATGATTTTCTTGTTATTAGCAATTCATGTTGTTTATTTACTCTGGATACATGTCGCCAGTGAATAATTCGTTCTGATGTAAAGTACCAAGCGTATTCTGGAAAAAAAAACTTAAATCTTAAAATTTGTAGGTGGCTGTCTAATTTAGTGATCTCATTCATTCATTGTGGCACTTCTGTTGGAAAATGTGAAGTATTAAATGTTGAAAACAGTTCTCAGGGAACGAATAATTTCCATGTTTATTATTTATAATAAAGGCTTCACATTCAGTGAAAATAGCACTACATCCACAAGCATCAAGAAGGTATTGCAATTTCAAAAGTATCTTGCAAATGATCAAACAGTTATAAGTTGCAGTTTGGGACATCTGTTCTTAAAGTACAAAGAACTTGCATGCTAAGTCAGTGTTATTGATCTCGAATTGTGGCCTTTCTCCAAAATTGGCAAATAAACAAAAAGATTATGCAAACTGTTTTGGCTTCATTTTGGACTGGGTTTTTTAAGTTTATGTTATGCCAGTAAGGTATGCATTTTAATATTAGTTTCCAATTAAGGTCTGCTAAATATGATGTATGCAGGAACATGTGATAATTGCACCAACTCAAAGAAAGAGAGTGACTTGTCCAGAGAGGCTTTCCTTCTAATGGCTTGTATTCAATCTTGTGGGGGGCACTGGGGTCTCAATTTGCCTGTAGATGTTCTTCGTGGATCTAGAGTAAGTTCACATACTGATGAGACAAATATACATACTAGAAATGCACGTCGTTTGAGAAGATAAATAGTTTGCAAATGACCTGAGCCTGTTGGAGTTGTCAATTATTTTTTTCTTTGAATAAAAAAAAAGATTTTTTTTGAACGCTTTCTCGTACAGCATCAACATAAAGTCAAAAACTTGTGACCATGGCCCATCGCTCCTTTTATTACTTAATTCTGAAGAAACCAAAATTGGACTTAGTCAGACGTCATAATCGTTGAGAACTTACTGCACTCTGTATTTTGAAAGCCTTGAAAAATCAATGCTCTATATCCATTAGTTGACCCTTTATTTTAATGCTCTAGAAGTTCATTATTCGTAGTAACACTTTTACATGTTAATACAGTCCAAGAAAATTGTTGATGCTAATTTGGATAAACTTCCATTTCACGGACTTGGTAAAGATATGCCAGCTAATTGGTGGAAGGCACTAGCTTATCAACTAATTTCACAAGGTATATAATTGTAGCCTATCTCTGAAATATATGTGATTAGGTATTTCTTGTCCTTCCAGGATGAAGATATGAATTATCATAACACCTACTAGTAATTGTCTGCATCATAATTCAAAGATCATATTAGAAGTTGTTTCAATGATAAAAAAATATTTTTTTGTGGTTGAAAAATCTCCGCTGTAGCAATGATCCTTCCATATGGTTGTTTAAATTTCTGTTTACTTTAATGTACCCCTAAATTTAATGTTGAATGTTGATTAATTAACTTTATCTTTGAACCTCTTTTAGAAAATTAATACCAGTTTAGTATACTTTCTAAAGATTTTTCATTGAACATAATAAGGCAACTGTATCTTTCTTGGGTATAAGAGTTTAACTGATTCTAGAAAACAATAAATGATACAAATGAGGAATATGAGGGGGGAAAACTGATACGAGTGACTAATAGGTGGTGAAGTACACAAATGCTATCGTTAGGGTGCTTAACCTTTAGCCAACCATACTTACATAAAATGCATACTTATATTATGAGATGTCATACTTCTGTTTTTATTGTATTTTAAAGCATGACATTTGAGTATAAAGTATGTATTGTTGGAAGAGTATTGCTGCCTAACCATTAGAGAGCTTAACGGAAGACCTACGGGGTAATGTAATTTTGAATAGGGAGTATTAGGGTCAAGTAAAATCTGCCTATAACAGTGTATTTAGGGCTACCTTTTGTCATTATAAAAATGTTATGAAAAATCGTACTTCTACTATAGAGCATTTAGATAGTTGTAAGACTAGTTTAACTTTTAGGAATACTTAAATTTTTCTCAAACTTTAGAATGTGAACTGGCTTGTTTAAAAAGACTTCTATTGGCTGTTAATTGCAAACTTCTCTTTCAAATATTAAATTTTACTAGTCCTGATATCTTATTCAATTTTTGACTTTAGAGAAATTCACTCACGCAAATCCTTTTTCCGTGCAATATACTATCTGTAGAATTGGGAGGTACTAGAAACCGATTACTTTTGCAGGTTTTTTTTTTTCATTAATCTAA